ACTTTCCCTGCTTCTTTGGATTTTGGAGTATTGGTTCCTTAGTATGAAGGAGTTTTGAGAAAGGTAAGAAGACAAGCTCAGAGCTCAAGAAACTATGAAGAATAATATTATAATCACAACAACTCGTTATTTGTTTTTAAGCTCAATCCTTCAGAAGGTTATTATCTGGAGTTGAATAATAATAGATTCAGGCTCTTTTTATGTGGAGGAAATCTTCAACAACAGTGTTCATAGGGAAGGACATTAATCAGGAAAGAGAAGTGAGCCTTGTTTCTAATAATGTTTGCATAATAGCTACCCTTGGGTATATTGCTTGACTGAAAATAAATATTCATGCTTTCCACATCCAGTACAATTGGAAATTATTCATGGTTATGATTCTGTCATATGATCTTCTACCTATTCAAGGGGACTTCAAACTGGGAGGCTGTTGGAAACCAAAAAACATAAATAACAATGCTTGTGAATGATATGGGGTAGAAGTTGAAAGAGGCTGTAGTGTTGGCTATGGGGAGAAAAGGAGCGAACAGTGGGAACTTAACTGTTTCCAGAGGGGGAGAAGCAGACTCACACTGACATGCTTAAGGACATTTATATGCTCTCCTGGTTTGCTTTTAGCTCTTCAATAGCTTCTCATCACCAGGAGAATAAAATTTAAGTGCCTTATCTTGGTGTCAGACTCACTGCCTGGAGTGGTTCCTGTGAAACCTTGGATCGCGTTACCTGAGACTACTCTCCACCTCAGATGTGACAACACAAAGCTCTTTGCAGATTCCCTCAGACACCATGACTTACCATTATCTCTTTCTTCACATCCTTCCTTCATCTTGCAAGAATTTTTCAAATCTTCTTTGTTAATTAATCTATGTATCATAGAAGAGTCAGCTTAAACTTCACCTGCTTCAGGAAGCCTTCTATGAACTCCACACCTAGTCAAGAGTTTTACCCAGACTGTCCTATTTTTATTGACTTATATATTTAGTGATCCTTAAATAGCCTTTGTCCTGGGGAGTTTTTTCATCATCTTGCTTTATTGCTTACATGCACCAAATTTTATTACATAAATGCTTTCAGTTAATTAATTCATTTTTCTTTCCTTTTCTGTTTCCTTTCTCCTTTCTCTGTTTTTCTCTCTCTCTTTTTATTAACTTTTAAATTCTGACAAATGTTTCAATACAGTCTTGAGAACATAAGCTATTTTGTTGTTGTTGTTGTTTTGTTTGTTGGTTGGTTTTGAGACAGAGTCTCGCTCTGTGGCTTAGGCTGGAGTGCAGTGGCATAATCTCGGCTCACTGCAACCTCCGCCTACCAGGTTCAAGCAATTCTCTGCCTTGGCCTCCTGCGTAGCTGGGATTATGGGTGCCCACCACCACACCTGGCTAATTTATTTTTATTTTTATTTTTAGTAGAGACAGGGTTTCACCATCTTGGCCAGGTTGGTCTTGAACTCCTGACCTCATGATCCACCCGCCTTAGCCTCCCAAAGTGCTGGGATTACAGGCGTGAGCCACCATGTCTGGCCAAGAACAGAGGCTATGTTTTGAACTTCTGTGTGTGTTACAAGGCTTTGCATTAAGTGCGCCCTCATGCAACTTTCCTAACCTTGCTTCTCTCCCATCAGGGACATTCTACTTCAGTCAGGAGAACATCCTATAGTATTAAAGTCCAGACTGATTTGTTTTCCTGGACCTGTGATTGCTAATACAACTGTTACTCAGTGTCTGGGGGGGATTAGTTCCAGGACCCCTTGCAGATACCAAAATCTACAGATGCTCAAGTCCCTGATTTAATATAGCTCAGTATTTGTGTGTAACCTATGCACATCCTCCTGTACACTTCAAGTCATCTTCAGATTACTTATAATACCTAATATAATGCAAATGCTCTATGTAAATAGTTGTTATACTGTATTTTTAAAATTTATAGTATTTTTTACTGTATTATTATTATTATTTGAATGTTTTCAATGTGAGATTGGTTGAACATACAGATGTGGAACCTGCAGATATGAAGGACTGACTTTACTTTCTCCAGCCTCTCCTTCCCTGTCCTTCAATGCAGGGTTTTTGTTAAACACCATATCCTTGGCTCATTTATCTGTGCTTCTAATCTGATGGATTCTATATTAACAGGCATATGTCTGCCCAACTTCACATGCCAATTTTACCCTTATTGGTAGGCTCCTTCTGAAGGTCCATATGTCTTTTTCATGTACTTATGTGCAGTCACAAAATACTGAAAACTGTGCCTTCTGTTTATATAACATATCTATTTATAAAACACTTTAAAATTTTTATCCTAACTACTGAGAGGTGAGCAGTGCAGCTGCTAACCTCATTTGTAAATGAGAGAATTGGTTCAAAACAACTGAATAACTTCCAAAATTTATGTGTCCAATAAATTGTAGTGATTAGAATTAGACTCCACTTGAGAGCCTTTTTCACATTACAAACCTGACAACAGTGGTTTTTTTCCCTGCCTATAGGCCTTGCAGAGCCTAGTAGAGTTCTGTGCATGATGAACTCACTGAGGGCACTGGACACAGGCTCACACAGGGTCTGTATTATGGTGCTGATTTGGGCCACTATACCTCAAGAGAATTAACTTACTTTAAACTCCACTGTAGACATTTATAAAGTGAAGAGTAAGACACCATGTTTTCATAGGATTTTTTTAAAACACTTTATTAATTCCCTTTCTCTTATCTTCATCTCTTTTTTTCTTCTCCTTTTCTCTCTTTGTTTTCTTTTCAGTCAGTTCAACAATTAATTGGTATTCTCCTACAATGTGCAAAGCAATATGCTACGGTTCACAGGGGAATGCAAAGAGGATGCTGCTTATAGCTTGTTGTGGCGAGGAACTTTTCTTCTCTCTTTTCTGTTCTCCTTTTTTCTCCATTCTTCTCTTCTTCCTACCTTCTTTTTCCTCTGATGTTCAAGTAGCCCTCATCATTTCCATAAATTTCCAAGGCTTCAGCTTTGGTCAAAGGGAAGGCACTCAGCCCAGGGCCAGTGAACGAGTTTAACATTCTTACGGTCCTTTGCATCTGCACACCCAGGACTCATAAATACTCAATATAAAAGCTTTGGGGGTTTTGCTCTGTGACAGCTGGGGACTCCATGTAATTTAATGCATGATACAGCACTTTTGGCTAACTCTGTATGAGAGACTACTCAAATAGGAATAAAATATCACTTTGCAAAATACATTTAAATTATTTTCCTTCTAAAACTTTGTGACTTTAAAGCCTTAAAATCTATTTTTTGAAAGTCAAAAAATAACAGATGTTGGCGAGGCTGTGGAGAAAAGGGAATGCTTATACACTGTTGTTAGAAATTTAAATTAGTTTAGCCACTGTGGAAAGCAGTTTGGAGATTTCTCAAAGAACTTAAAGCAGAACTACCATTCGACCCAGCAATCCCATTACTGGCTATATACCTAAAGGAAAAGTAATCATCCTACCAAAAAGACACATGTACTCACTGTTCATCTTAGTACTATTTACAGGAGTAAAGACATGGAATCAACATAGGTGCCTATCAGCAGTGGAGTAGATAAAGAAAATGTGGTACATATACACCATGGAATACTACATAGTCATAAAAAAAATGAAATCATGTCCTTTGTAACAACATGGGTGCAACTGAAGACCATTATCCTAAGTGAATTAATGCAGAAACAGAAAACCAAGTATCACATGTTCTTACTTGTAAGTGAGAGCTAAATCTTGGGTACTCATGGACACAGAGATGGGAGCAATAGATACTGGGAACTCTAGAAGGAGAGGGGGAGGGGGACAAGGGCTATAAAACCTCCTGTTGGGCACTATGTTCACTCTCTGGGTGTTGGGATCAATAGAAGCTCAAACCTCAGCACCATGCAATATATCCTTGTAACAAACCTGCACATGCATCTCCTGAATCTAAAATAAAGATGATTTTTTTTTTTTGAGATGGAGTCTCACTCTGTTGCCTGAGCAGGAGGGCAGTGGTGCAATCTTGGCTCACTGCAACTCTGCCTCTCGAATTCAAGCAATTCTCCTGCCTCAGCCTCCCAAGTAGCTGGGATTACAGGTGTGCCAACATGCCAGCTAATTTTTGTATTTTTAGTAGAGATGGGGTCTACTATGTTGGCCAAGCTGGTCTTGAACTCCTGACCTCGAATGATCCACCCGCCTTGGCTTCACAAAGTACTGGGATTACAGGCGTGAGCCACCGTGCCCAGCCTCTCATTCCTCTTCTACACCCCACATAAGGTGCACGAATCATTAGACACATCTATTTTTTTCCCCTAAGGCTACATATTCTTAAAAGTAGTTTAAGTTACCTATTACCTCTAGGCTTTTTTCCATAAAAATCATCAGTAAATTATATGCCAAACATGGTTTTTTCCTCAAGAACACAGTTAAAATAGACTTGATTCCTCTTTGCTGTCTCCAGTCCTCCTAATATTCATACCAATAGGTATTTATCTATCACCACAAAACACACAAAAAGACTGGTGATTGCTTAAATCACAGGAGATCAAAGTAGAAGGAACTAGAAAGAAGGAAGCAAGTGCAATCATGATTAGGCACTTACTCTGCATCCGTGGCTGGGTTAGGAACATTCATAGGACTTCATGAACCCTACTAAGTTTAAACCTGCTCTTTTACAAATGTGGAAACTGAGGCTCAGAGGGGTTAAATGATTAGCCCAGTGTCCTGCTCTTAAAGCGTCAGAGTTGAGATTTGAACCCAATTGATGTGACTCCAATTTTTTAAATATTTACTGTACCAAGGCTGGAGGGGGCACACATGGGCTCTAGAAGGATGCATGGAATGGGTACCTGGGTGGGGAAGGGCTACAGAGGGGGCCTCAGTCGGTTTGACTAAGATATTTTCCTTCTCTGATTCCTGCCCCAAATGTAGAGTACTTATCCCAAATATGGATCCAACTTTGTGTAATATTTTAATGAGAGGGTCTTCTACTAATAGGACATCTCTCTCTTGTCTTTCACAGCAATCTTGCAGGCGGTAATAGCTGGTGATCTTATGAAGGTAAGATATCTTCCTACCAAATCTTTGGCAATGCTTTAAGAACTTGAAAACAACATCACTCCTCACCAAATTTCTGTGTTTCCATCTATCACTTATCATCCCCGTGCTTGCACTGGCTGAATAGAAGAGGCAAGATGTTCTTTTGAGAACTGAGCAGAGAGGGTGTTCAAGAGCACCAGGGTACTTGTCTCAGTTACTTAAAATGAACTGCATGTCCCCAGGATGCAGTGTGCACAGTGTGCACAGTGTGCCTGCCCTCTGGAAGCTGACATTCGAAGAATTTAAAGATTTCCTTTCAGGCAGGTATTGAAATGAATGCATCTGTAAGAATTACCTGGACAACACTCAGAAATGCATTCTTCAGGTCAGAGGTTAATCTTTCCTTTTTATGGTTTTATACTTTGGGGATCATAGTTAGTCAAACAAGAACCCTGATCCACTTGGAACAGTTTAATTTGTGCTTATGTTTTCTGGTGAGTTTGTTCAGAAGGAAGGAAGCAGTCACCACTGCCCTGAGGGTGAATGTAAAATCTGAAGTCAGACTTTCTGAGTTCGGATCTTGGCTCTGCCTTACACTGTCTGTGTGATTTCGTGTAATTATTTAATTCTCTCTGTGCCTTAGTTTTTTCATTAGTAAAATGGAATAATATTACCTCTCTCTTTGGATTGTCATGAGGAATTAATGTAATAATACATAGAAAGCTCTCAAGACTGTTCCTATTACATGGAAGGGGCTCTAAAATGTTAGCTATTTTATTAATATTCTGATAGTGTAGATCTGTGTTTTTTTAATCGCTAAACATGGTGGAAATACAAATATTTGTTATATAATATAAACATCATCTATGAATATTCTAAAGTTATTTTTGGTCCCACATCATTTTCAGGCATCAGGCTCATGACTTCCCATATGCCCCTGCAAACCCCCTGCTGGAACTGATCTGCTCTGTAATAATGACAGCTGCCTGAAGGCAGAGGCTACGCCTGATTCCTCAGCCTGTGGAGTAAGGTGCCATTGCAGATTGAGGAACCAATAGCCCTAAGAGAAAGCTGAAAAGTCCTACCCTCAGACATAACTTTTTTTTAGGCACATCTGTTGGAGAAACTGAAGGACACCTATGCTACATTTTTCAACAGGTTACTAGAAGAAAACAAATGGAGAAAATGTTGCAAACATCTTGATCAGCTGCCCCCTTTAGGCACGTAATCCTGAAAATAGTGCCTGTGCCACTGCACAGATCATAGTGTCAGTAGAAATTGTTACTCAGAAGAGTGCTCTCCAAGCAGTATATTGATGAGTTCAGTGCCGTTTCTTACCAGTGGATTAAGCCCATACCATCCTGTAGTCTGTGCACGGCCTTCCATTAGGTTTTGTGGGAAACAAAGGCATGAATATAATTGATTCCTGCCCCTGGTGGGTTTCTACACCAGAAAATTTGGCAAAGCACTGTACATTTGAAACCCTTCCATTTTATTTTCTATATGCTTTCAGATTAGGCAACTGATTTCCCAGGATCCTGAGTTTATTATCACACTTTTTTTTGTACTTTTAAATAGAGAATCATTTGCAATGTGGGAAATCACTATATCCAGCTGGTTGTCTTATTATAGGTTGGTGCAAAAGTAATTCGGTTTTTGTCATTTCAGTGACAAAAACTGCAATTATTTTTGCACCAACCTAATGCATTCTCTGTTATAATTCTTGTCTAAATGACTAAAACATGACTTAATAACATCTTATTATTTTTTGTTTGTTTGTTTTTCTTTTTGAAGATGGAGTCTCCCTCTGTCGCCCAGGCTGGAGTGCAGTGGTGCAATCTCGGCTCGCTGCAACCTCTGCCTCCTGGGTTCACACCATTCTCCTGCTTCAGCCTCCCGAGTAGCTGGGACTACAGGTGCCCGCCACCATGCCCGGCTAATTTTTTGTATTTTTAGTAGAGACAGGGTTTTACTGTGTTAGCCAGGATGGTGTTGATCTCCTGACCTCGTGATCTGCCTGCCTCAGCCTCCCAAAGTACTGGGATTACAAGCATAAGCCACCACGCCTAGCCAATAACACCTTATTTACTGAAAGATGGAGTATTTGCTGAGGGCTTAAGGTTTTACTTTTTCTCTCTTACATATTTTCTTTATTTTCCTTCTCAAATATTCATGCCCTCTTTCTCTTCTCCAACTTCTTTTGTTTCTTTCTTCTGAGTAGAAAGTGCAATATATATAAAGTATTAAATTGGGTACATGTGTATGTGTTTGTACAAGAGGGAGAGGGAGAGAAAGAAAGAGAGGGAGGGAGAGAAAGAGAGCGAGAGACTAGTGAACAGAACGTCTCTGGAGCCACTCCTGTGTGAAGGCTGTCACAAATAGCTCCTGGACAACTGGGCTGCAAAAAATGCCCATGGACTAACTGAATGTTCACGGTGTCTAGAAACAGCACAGAAAGTCAGGATCCAGGCAGTTGACCCTGAACAGGTTTGGTTGGGTCTATGCTGTTATCCTTTGTCGATCTCCCCACAGAGAAAGGGAGTGTCATTTTAAGATAATGTGGCTGAACAGAACAGGATTCCCTTTTAGACTTTTGTGGAAAGTTGCTAGCTACTTCTTCCTGCCCTCTTGCCCCCCAGTTTAGGGATAGAAGTCCCGTATGTTCCTTACCTTCATTCAGCTACTGCTTTTGATCCATGCCCTGGGAGGTCTTCCATGGCTCTTTCCATCCCCTGCTTCATGCTTCCCTAGTGCTTCTCTGAGACATTTGTGATGTTCTTGTCCATTACTGTGTTACTCTTTACCTATCTGTCTCCCCCATGGGCTGTGAGGGCTTTGGGCACAGTGACTGAATTGTATTTATCTTCCTGACATCTAGCACATGACAATTCTATGGATGTATTTGAGTGAAGACGTGAACTCTGAATTTACGTTCTTTTTTTAAAAAAATATTTTTAATTGACAAATGATTATACATATTCATGGAGTACATAGTGATGTTTAGATACATATAGTATACACTGATCAGATCAGGGTAATTAGCATATCCAACACCTCACACATTTATCATTTCTTTATGTTGGGAATGTTCAACATCCTCCTTCTAGCTATTTAAAACTATTTAATATATTATTAACTATAGTCATCCTACAATGGTATAGAACACTAGGACTTATCCTTTGCATTTATGTCATTTATGCTCTTTCACCTTATGGGATGTCTGATTATCTATAATGTGTGCCATCTAACTTCTTAAAAGATAATGTGTTCATTTTGCTTATTACCTGCTGGGTTATTTAATTCTCATTTGTCCTAAAATTACCTATTAGAAGCTTCATGTAGGCACTCTTGTCCTGATATACTGTAATTTGGAGATGAGGGACTCCTTCACATTTTCTGTAATGTTCAGTATTTTATAAACTTAGACCATATCCTCATTTAGCCACCTTATCCTCAGGCTACAAAATTCTGTTTTTTTTTTTTTTTTCCAGTCTTCTCTCACATAGAAACTATTACATTTTCTGAATCATTTTGGGTCTCACTCTGTACATCATCTCTAGCCTGTTAGGTATGTGTTGGGTGATTAACACAAGGTTTGCAGGCTCGGCTGCAGATCTGGATGAAGAAGGAAGCCAGGCGTGTGTTCGTGTGCGTGCATGCATGCATGCGTATGAGTCTATACTTGTATTCAGTGATCTTACACAGGAGAGACAAAGCAGCTTTGATATTTGGTATATAGTTTCATAAGACTAAAGAGAAACTGAAGGACATGGGCAAAAAGCTTAGCTACAGTCACCAAGGTATTCCTGCTTATAGCCATAATTACTCTTTCACTCAAGAGAATGCTAAGCCAACGAAGAGAGGCTTTTGTTTTCTACTCCACCCCTCACTCCCTTGAGACAGAGACCATAGAGACCAGTGCTCAGAAAATAAATGAAAAAAGTAATTCAGCATGATTCAGTTTCCCTAGCCTGTTCAATACCTACAGACTCTTTCCAGAGTTAGAAGAGACACTGGTCATCACTGTGAGTGATAACACAGTCCAGGAATGTTACTTCATCTTTTTGACTTTTCTCTGTGTCCTCTGAGGCTAGAAACATTGTGGTTTGCTACATGACTCTTATTTTATTACCAGTTAGCTATTATCCTTGTTCCAGATTCTGCCTGAGCTTCTTTTTGTATGTCTCTCTTGCAGCTAATAGAAAGCTATAAAAATGGAGGCAGTCTGCTAATTCAGGGACCAGACCACTGTTCACTCCTTCACTACGCAGCTAAAACCGGCAACGGGGAGATTGTGAAATATATCCTTGACCACGGTGAGTAGGCATAGTGAACTTACCAAGGATCACTTATCTGTGAAATCCATTGCATTTTACATTTTCTAAGATGCCCTTCATCCAGGCAGTCTTCAGAATGGCAGAAATACTCTCGAACTTTTAGCCGACTGCCCCTGCTTATTTGAGGCAGTCATGGTTGCAGACCAGTGACACACATGGGCCATCCTAACCAAGCAATTAATAGAAACAGTGTTCATACCAAGTTCTTTACAGGCTATTTTTCAGACTAATTACTTTTTTTTAACATAGGGGACAAAAATAAATGCAGCCTGGCATTGTGCACTTTATTTTCTCTAGAGCTCTTCTGTAAATTAATGGGTTGGGATTCCCTGCCTAATCCATATTTGTGGTTCATCATTGTGAAGATTCATGAGGATAATTTTTTTACATCTTTCTAGTTTCTCTCTTTTTTTTTTTTTCTGTTTGATCTCATTTATCTTTTCCACCCAGGTTACACTTTATTGTCTTTGAAAACGACTGGTACTATTGTGTTGTCTGTGGCAGATCATACTAACCTTCCAGACTGCTTTCTAACTGGATTTCTAATTTGGTGCCAGATCGTTTGCAGGAAGTAGCATGCACTATAGCACCTGCCTCTAAAAACCCTTTGGAAGCATAAACATATTTGATGAATACTAAATCTAAACGGTTACATTCAACTTATCATGTTTCATAGTATTTCCAGGAATAAAGTGGAAAAAATACTGCCTAGCTAGGCTGTTTTAAACGAGAAGGAATGAAAGAGTCTAATTCTGCTGGACCTTGGTATACAGAGAGATTGGAAAAGTTTCTTTGAGCCCTGACAGTCAGTCTATGGCTGACTCCTTTTGCACCCAAATTCAGCCTGTAGACAGTAAGCATACTTGTAAACATTCACATCCTTTTTGCTCCCCCCCCTTTTTTTTTTTTTTGCAATTCAGCAAGTATGTCTTATTCCATTCATTGATTCATTCATTTAACAAATATTTGTGTAGTGCCTAACAGGAGCTGCCTGTTATAGATGGTACACACACAAAAATAAAATACAGTCACTGTTTTCAAGTAATTGCAGGCTAAAGAAAAAATAAGATCATGTGTATAATTAAATTCAAAACAGGTATGTGCAGCTGTTTTAAGTCCTATGGTAAAGCCACAGATAGATAACGTAGCTACCATTTGTCAAGCACATATTTGCCAATTGTTTATAGTAGACGCATCCCATCATTTGATCTTCACAAGGTCCTTGCAAGGTAGGTACCAAACTATCAATCACGTTAGACACCCCTTGCTTTGTCTTCAGCACCTTCTCACTGTTGAGATTCTGCTTGAACCCTTGCTCTGAAATACAGTGGAAAGGGTGGGTTGGAAAAAGGAAAGACCAGGAAAACAGAAGGGCCGTGATGACAGAATTTCTTTACTCCTTGTAGGCTGGGTTGGATAATCCCAAACCCGTCTGCCCTGGAAAGCCTAGGTAGGTAGGATGTATTTTTGGTGCTAAGTCTGGGGCTTGTATCATTCTATCTCCTATTTCCCTGGCTATTCAATCTCTTGCAGTTAAAAGTATTTCTTTCTGGGCAAGAGTGAAGCCACAGTGCTACTATATTCTTTTTCCCTGAATAAGAAAATATCTCAGGATTTCTACTGCACAAAGCTCAGGTGAGGGTTAGATGTATACTGTCACTTTGTTTTTCTTTAGCTCAGGTTTAAAGTTCTCCTAGTTGCTGTCTTGTTGATCACTTCCAATCTACTCTCTTTAGTATACCCTTTACCCAAGAGATTGAATGCTTGCTTGGATACCTTAAGACATTTGGTGCCCACCTACCCTTTCTCTGGAGTTAGGTGAGACACTGGCCATCTGTTTGAGTGACAACACAATCCAGGAATCTCTCTCTCCACATCCCCCCACCCATCTTTTCATCTTTCCTCAAGAAGCAGTATTTCCTCCCCTAGTCCTGGGATCCTCTCTGTATCCGCTGTCTCACTTGGTCTCATTTAGGAGGCTGCAGTCAGCTCCTTTTTTGGATGAGGCTTTATTGAAGATGGACTCTCACATGTTTGGGGCTTTCAGCTGGGATGGCTGTGGAAGGCCAGGACACCTAAGCCTTTCTCAACACCTGGTCTTTTTTTCCCAAGATTCTTCACAGCATGGTAGTGCTGGGGTTCCCAGGGGTGAGAGCGGAAGCTGCCAGATGTCCTGAAGCTAAGTTGGGAAGTTCTGGTTGCTCTCTACTGTATACTGTTGGCTAAAACAAGTCACAGGGCCAGCCCAGACTTAAAAGGTTGGGAAACAGATTCCACTGTTTGATGGCCAGAGCTGTGAATAATTCATGAAGATATTTAATCTACCACACTCTCTTATGTCCTAGTCTCTGCAGTTTAAAGTGAGCAATGTTCTGAACTTCTGACTCACCTGGAATCCCTTAGAGCTTCATTTTTCTATTTGACTTTGGTTCTGGGTCCTAAGAACCCAGGTTTCATAAATAAAAATACAAGATGGCCAGGCATGGTGGGCCCATAGTCGCAGCTACTTGAGGCTGAGGCGGAAGGATTGCTTGAGCCCAGAAGGTGAAGGCTGAGTGAGCTAGAATTGCACCACTGCACTCCAGCCTGGGTAGCTGAGCCAGACCCTGTTTCTTGAAGAAAAAAAAAATGATAACAATAATGAAGGTTTTAACATAAGTATAGCCCATGCAATATTTGAAATATGATTATACTAAAAATGAAAACAGCAGGGCTCCTCATCTGAGCCGCCCCAGGGACATGAGTGATGAGTCCTGGGATGATATCACCCTGACACAGTAGCTTTTCACTTCCTCTATTTCCTCTCTTTCCCCTGCCTCCAAAAATAGGGCTTTTGAAAGCACCGTTCATCCAAGCTCACAGGACTTGGAGTTTCTAACCCCAAATGTAGATCAGTGCACACCTACTTTGCCTGGCATCAATTCATCGGGCACGTTAGTCTCTGAGGGCTTTGATCAAAACCTAACCTTCTAATACAAATCTGTTTCTCATCAACCTGCAGTGACTTTTGCAAAGACTGAGTCACACAATACCACTCCACCCAAGTGGAAGGACACAAAGGAATTCAGTCTTTTTTGAGGGGTGGGAGTGCTTAGTCTTCCAATGCTTTGGTTAGATGTTATAAATTAATCAGCTTAATATTTATGCTCACTAGAGGAAACACAATATTCACAGTAATCATCCTAACTTCACTTCTAGGCAAATAATTCCTGAGGTCTCAGAAGGCATCCTATACCCTTCCTGCCTCACCAGGATCTCTAATCGCACAGGGAGAAAGACTGTAGAGATGGGAGAGCACAATCCATCTCTTTTGTTTGCAAATAAAATGTTATTATGATGTTCAGTCCAAGGGTCACTGCATTTTTGATGGATGGCAATTTTTAACACTTTACTACTATAGCTGAATATGGAGACTCAAATGCAATTGATTCTTATTGAAATTAGTTGTCAACCTTGATAGACATTGTCAATTTCATTTTCCATGTCTATCTTAACTTTTTTATTTATTCAGAAATATGGATGTAAAATCATTTGATATAACCTAATTCACCTAATTCCACAAGAGCTAAATACTTCAGCTCATCTGTTGTTTTGTTTGTTTTTTAATATCTTTAGTTGCCAATTTAGTTTATATTAACCTTTGCATTTTATTGAAAACCATCATAGCAAAACCACTCCTCTCTTTTTGATGATAGAAACTCCTTTAAATTGTAGTGTTCTTGAAGTCAGGCACAAGTACACAGAAACTTGTCAATACCTTTTCAATTCTGTAATCACCTTCTTAAGGTGATCTCTGTTGATTGAAATAGTCTCTGCTAACTTAGTAATGATGATAACTCTGGCATACCCTGACCTGACAAAGAAAACAGCCTTCCCAAGAAGCCTCAGTAAGTCTGGGATTTAGGTATGTATACCAGACTATGGCATTGTATTTTTAAATTAGCATCAGATTTGCAGTAGGTAAGTCTGATCAGTTTGAATTCATGTAAATGAAAATAAATAAATAAATAAAAGTTGTACATTATGCCAAAGATCAAGAAAGACATTCCTCCTGGTTGTTGAATATTGCAAATCTTTTAAAGCCTTTGTTGTTCATTTACTTATTTTTCACAATTTGGTTTATGTCTGTCTCATGGTTTCATATGACATAAAAAAAATTGTTCAAAGACTTGACTGTAATGATGACGTTAGTAATAGCAGTTCTGAAGGATTCACAGGCTCTTTTCCAGGTGCACAGCTGATGTTGTTTGTGGCTCTTGAGTTGACACTTCGTTTGCTTCCTGCAGCCTTACTCCTGAGCCCCTCTCCCCTCTGCTCTGCCCTCTTCTTCATTGGCTCTGGTCAGGAGTGTGGGCCGCCACCATCAAGAGGACACCTGAACAAGAGTCCTGAGATTAGTTATTCTCTCAGACACAACAAGCAGCAACTGATTTCTCTTCTATGGGCTCTTTTAAAGCAGGCTGGGGGCTGTGCCACATGAGATGTGCGGTATGTTCTGAAAGCGCCATGGGAGGCTTGAATTTTTTTCAGCTTGCATCTTCTTCCTTTGGATGTCTTCTCTCATCTATACAGCATGCTGCTTTCCTTTATGAAAAACTGGAATTTGGACATTTAGAGAGTTGAAAAGAGACTCGGGGAGGAAGAGTTAACAATTCCACAGAGACTGGGAGAGAGACTAAGGATGCAGGGATTCCAGCTGAGATTCCTCTCAGTGCTTCCCGCTTTTCAGCTCCTTTCAACCATATTTTCTGCCCACTCCCTCCCCCTCATTTGCCCCTCCAAGGGACTTTTGTGTTGTTTCTTTCCTTCACCACCCTGCACACTCTGCTCTTTTGTTTTTATTCTCCCCACGCCTACCCCATTGCCTCCTACTGGTTTTCCTGATAGAAATCTCACTCATGCATTTCCTTTTTGATTTCAATGGGTTATTTTGTCTTCCCTCTTTTTCTGTCTTCAGTCTTTCTTTTCTCTTTTTTTTA